CAGAGGTTACATCTGTGAGAATGGATATCTCATGATGAAAGTGGATGATGATCGTTGTATATTACGAGTTAACTGGTTCCCCAAACCATTAGCTTGACAATAACACGTTGACAGAAGATCTGCCAGTCAAGTTTTCAATACTGCACTGGATAGAAGGCGTAAGCAGCTAATGTGTAGTCTCAATATTAGATAAAAAAGCTGCCAAGTGCACCGTATTTTTCAGATAATATCAGTTTGTGTTGGCTGGAATCAAGCTTGAAACTAAATAATGATTTGACTTATTTTCTGTTTAAGAGCATAATGAATATCCAGTGGAATGTTGGTATTAATCCACTTGAGTTAGTTGTAAAATGTCAAAATTTAATAATCCAGCAGTTTAAGGAATCCATGTAAACTCAAATTTTACGCATACAATTTGATGGCACAACTACTTTATAGTATATGAGTGGAATAGTTATTGACGAAAGTATTCGTCAGGTATCCTATACAAGCAATGATTTCATAAAGTTAGGAATAAACAAAGAACTATTCAAGCTTTGATGAGACGGTGAAAAGTAAATGGTATCTCTTAAAGTCTGTTCAGGTGCATAATGATCGGAGTGTACTGAAATTTAGTTAGACATGATGTATTTAAGAAATGAAGAAGTTGTTCTCCTCTTAGCCAATACTACGCCGGAACAGTGTTTCACAGCATCGAATGAAATGGGCGGTACTTCACATTGAATATAATAGAAACAATTTGTTCACACCTATTTTATAAATTATGTAAGTTGAATTTCCTCGTTAGCTAAAACTTAGTTCAAACATTTCTCTTGATAAATTATTTACTGAGTTGTTGATTCGTCAAAGCTGCATTCACGCAGATAATGGTTTGAGTTGAAAAGGAAAGTGAATGCCAATGAAATTCAAACAAACAACTTCCAGGGCACTTGTCAATTTCTGTGTGGAATTCAGTCTTTTAAACAGAAATAGTAGGGTCCTCTACTGGTAACTGAAATACCATGAGTTTGGATCAAACTGTCATCCATACTTTTGTTCTCTTTTCTTGTTTGTCTGCTGAAGTATTTGATGATCTTCACTTCTCAGATAAATAGCTACTAAGGTGGAAGTTAGTAGAACCAATATAAGTGAAGAACTTGGGCACTGTGGTAGGATGTAATTCGATATTAGATATGTTTACTTGATATAGAATGAACAGGGCCAAACGATTGTAATATCAGTTCAGGGAAGATAAGTGTTGAGTAAGCTGGAAAAATAAAAAGCCTGAAGATCGCACAAACAAATGGGTGTAATTCAGTGGTAACGAAAGGAATTCCACGAACATGTTTATCATTTCTATCTCACTAAACTTGCCAGCTGGATGGAGGTAATCGGCAGGTAGTCATACTCAACGGAACTGATGTCCCACCTGAGTTTCGATTACTATTTTGCAATGTTGTCATCAGGCTAAAAGACTTACTGTTATGATGAATTTGGAGAGATCTATAGAATTCGACCAGAACAGTCCTAAGGAGGTCAGTCTCGTCCCGAATAGCTCAGTGGTAACGTCTCCGACTTGGTGGTGCCAGTTCGAACCTCAGGCAAAACCTTAATTCTGTCGAGGTTGCAGATACGCCTTGCTGACGAGTGATAAGAAGTACAAAGCCTAGATCCAAGGCTTCCTACCGAATACCTCCATCCAAATAACATCTCTACTAGTGCATGGCGATCACCGACCACATTGAAAAGTGATTGCGTGAATTCGATCAGGATTCGTGATGAGACAAAATGAAGTTGCTTACCCTCTAGTGGGAATATGAAAAAAGCTGATTGGATTTAGTCGATCTATGTTGCGGTCTGCTGATTGAGTCACCAGACCCATCCATGAAATAAGATTTCACGCAGTTTTCTTTGATCAAACAATCTCAACAATGAATAGAAATAAATTTTAACTACAGATCCATTTCAATTTCATGTTTTTGGGATGTTTTCCGTATAACTAGCAGGTAAATTCAAAAGATTCAACACTGAATAAGACAACTAGAAATTGACTGTTTTAATGAACCCTTGAACATATTCATCGAAACACTGCGTCGAAAAACATGCTGAAATATATTCATGAATTTAAGCTCAAGTGAAAAATGTTGACGCATCTTATTGATGTATTATTCTAAAACTTACGGTAACCAGTATGACATATATTCGTGTAATTTATGCAAACCCTTGATAATGTCCAGTGATATACTCACTGATTTCTTTACATATATAAGATTCTCAGAGGATGGTGGGAGGTGCAGAATAGCAACAGTTCATCTTAGATACTGGATTGTTTAGTTGCTTTTGCGTAACATCGCATGGTATCCATTTGCCATCAAAATATGTCAGTAAATCTGAGGTCTTTCAAAATGTTACCTTGATAAAAAGGGCTTAAGAAGCGCAAGTTTCAACTGCCAATAATCAGTAAATTTACTAGAGCTTTAAAAGTGTCTTCTGGTTACAGATTATGCTACAGAGGATGGAGCAGCAACCTTAAATCCATTGCGAAAAGCTTTTGATTACTAATAGTCCCTTAGGCTCATAGTGGAAAATAGGAATTCAGTAGCACGTCGCCATCTCACCATCTTCTATGAAGTCTTCTTAACCTGGCTCCACAACTCCAAACAACCTGTCATTTCTTCCTCACACCATCTCCAACATGTCACTCTCGCCTCGGACAACCAAATCCTCGTCTCCCCTTCGAACTCCACTCGAGGGACTGGTCTACCACCTGATCTCCCCAATCTCTCCTCTCACTCGTCTATGTCCAATCCAATCAAATCAAATCCATCTCCACTTCCTTCTACTGCATATTTGTTGGACGACAGATTCTTGGTTGGTTGGTTGGTTGCCAACCAGCCAACCAGAGTTCCTTATTGCTCATTCTCATTATTCTCGCCAACTGATCTGATCTTCAGTGTCAGTGTTGAGTGAGTGTAGGTGGCAGCTGTAGATGCATGTACGCAGTTTGTTCGAAATGCTTTTGTGACGCTCCAAGTCTCTCAAACATCACACAGAATCACTGAATTGCTTGACTGAATTAGTTTTGGAAATCCGGATCTCGTTCACGCTTCATGCTGAGTGCACTGAAGTGCACTGGAGTGCGGTGCAGTGCAGTGCAGCGCAGTACAGAACAGTACAGTACACTACATTACAGTACAGTACAGTATAGTAGATCACCACACTGATTATTTCAGATTAATCAATGCCTGTCTTCTTGTCTTTGCCATCCTGACTTTGACATCGTCATCTGTGCCGCCACCACCACCTGTAGTTGAGATGATGCTGCCTGTCTAGGTAGGTGAGAGAGACTACTTCCTTTCGATTTCTCCCGTTCGTGGTGGTTGGTGCTTGTTGTTACTGTTGTTGTTGTTGTTGCTGTTGTTGTTATTCCTGTTGGTATCTTCATCACCTCTATCTTCTCTACGTTCACCTGAAGGAAGTCCCGTCTCCGCTGCCTCACCTCACCTCAACTCAACTCAACTCACCTCTTCTGTCAACTTGTTGCTTTTCACCTGTACATCTTCGAGTTTGTGCGACATGACATGACATTAGACATAAATCATCGGTGGCGGCGAAATCCAAATCTTCTTCTTGGGTCTTTTCATCGATCCAACCAGTGTGTGTCCATCTTCTCACTCCTCACAGCTGTCTGTTGCATGATCCAGTTCACTTCAGTCCAATCGAGTTGAGTTGAGTCGACCACAATCAGGAAGAGGGTCGGTGATAGTAGGCAGCAACCTTGTCTTGTCTTGTCCTTTCTTGTCTTGTCTTACTCCTGTCTTCACTTCACTTCAAAGGCATCATCACTGAGCTTTCCATTGTGAATCACTCGGCATGTGGTATCATCTCATCATACAGCATGTAGTTGGTGTTCAGTGAGGTTGATAAATGTTTGTGTCAGTGAAACCGTAGTGTTGAAGTAGCTGCTTGCCACACTGGTTGTCGGTCGACGCTGTCGAAGGCTGTTTTAAAGTCGATGAAGTTGAGTTAGAGATCCAGTTGACTTCCATTCTATGCTATGCTCTATTTTATGATGATGCGTAGCGTAGTGTGCATTCTGATTCTAAAAGCTCACTAGTTTTCTACTAAACTCCATATTATTCCTAACTGACTGTCTACTCCCTGATATGCAGTTAGTAGTTAGGTTACTTGAGTTACAGTTCCGCATATGGTTGATTGTTTCATGTCATTCATGGAGATGCATTATTATCATTACTGGATATTTACCTGCAGTTAGCTGACCATTGGTCCGATTTCATATCTTCATTTAATTTGACCTCAAAGGTAGTCACCATCAATTAACAGTGCAATAATAGTATCCAGTGATGAGATGAAGCACTGAGTTTAACCACCCAGTATAGTATAAAGTTAACTAGAAATAATCAGGGACCCCAATTTCTGCATGTTGTCACTAAAGTAACAGATGCAAGACATATTTTGTTTCAGAATTTATTGAAAGTGTCTTCTTTATGGCTACAAAGATAAAACTGTCAAAGTAAATGCATTTAGTCGAAGTTATTGCAGCATAGCTGGGAAGGTGCAATGACAGGATGTTTTCAGTTCAATTTTTCTATTAGTTACAAGTGAGTTATTGACCATATCTAACTAACTAAAGACTTTTCTATGGACATCTTTGCTATCTAAGAGCTGTAAATACATCTGTCAGTCCTACATACGGTTACTATCCTTTCGAATAGCTCAGCAGTAACATCGATAACTACAAGCAGCACGGAAGTATGTCAGTCTGCATGTCAGGAGGTTTGTGAAAGTGACATCACTTGCACTACAAACTATTCTACCCTTGTTTCTACGCCTCACTGTCATCTACTTCTTTATATTCGCCTACACTTTTGAGTATGCAAAAAAAATCCTGGTGAACCATTAGGATGCCTTATTAACCTTAAATTAAGTGGAAGAATGTCTGTATCTGATGTTGGAATGAGAATAAATAAAATGAAATATACTAAGTAACAAAAAAATACCATATTTTACGAAATTCACAATTAACGGATATAAACAATTTTTTTTAAAACAAGCATCAAAAATTAAATACTTACCTTAAAGAAATATAAACCTGAATTCTGTTGCTCTCGCCCAATTTCATGACTTGAACTTGGTAGATAAGTGCATTGTGCAAATTTCAAGGTCATCCAATTGGCCAATGATAGGACAGATTGTAAATTTGTCTAGTGCGGACAGACAAATAGTGTTTCAATGACTTCTATCTTAAATCTGATTGGCTAAATCATATATTTTGCCACAAACTTCTAATGACCGGCATAAATGAGTATAAAACCAAAGATATAAGTTTTAGGAATTGATTTATGGGTTAGGATATTATAAAAATGCAAGAGGAATATTATTGCAGATAAATGTTTTTGAACGAGGTATATCTTCGTTGACCATCAGTCCCACATTAAAATGGCCACAGAATAACATGAGATTAGGAAGAAGATATGTTAGGTTGTTTTTAATGAATAAAACAGACTTCATCCATTTCACAGCAGGTCATGTAGATTTCGTAAATTTGCTTTAGAAGTTATTCTTGATAAACAGAGATTAAACAAGTTATTTCAGGTAGAAGAGCTGTTTATATCTAAGCGATAGTCCGAGGTCAAACAGTTTCATTAGCGATTGGCCTTAAAAAACTTACTGGTTTAAATAACCCTCAGTCCAATACTTCACCTTTATATTTTTTCACTGAGTCATAACAAACTGTATGAACTAAAGTAAATTACGGAAAATTAAAAGATTTAATACAATTAACAGTATAGTTTTTTTGTGGTCAAGACTTCAAGTTTTATTTTAAAAAGCGCTGATGTTAATCTTGATAACTAAACTACAGTTTTATGCAGTATGAATGGACCATAGACGACATACATATCTGTATCAATAACTCCAGGGGTCCTGTTGAAACTAACTGTCATTCAGATATCAAATCCCATTTATTCACCAGCTGTTTGGTGGTGGCATTGCATGAATGAAAGATAATTACACCTCCATCGACTGTCAAACTGTATCCTCATACGCATATCGAAATTATCTGAAGCTAAATACATGAAATAGTAGGTTGAATGAGAAAGAGGCCACTTGGAACAGATTTTACTGGTTGGATTTCTCCCCAGATATACTGTGAGAGCATAACAGCGTTAAAACTTAACGGCTAACTTTAGAAAATTCAAAATAGACTCTTTAACATCTTCCAGGAACTGTTGTTTGTTAAAATACAATTTAAAAAAAACAGCATGCTTACTGCTTTATACATATAACATGATTCATTTCTACACCAACAAAATTATAAATTCGGGTTGGTATTCTTCATGGACTGAAATCAGTTGGAGAGACATTGGAAAACCTGGGAACGCTGGACGTTTCGTCTTAGCATGGGGCTCCCCAGCAGTGCAAACCCATGGGTCTGCTAGGCATCGAACCCGTGACCATCAGGTTCCGTGGCTAGCAAGTTACGATTGGGCCATTAGGTCGGAATCCAGTGGTCTCTATATCCTACTTCTGTCAGCTGACGATATAACGCGATCTACATACAGTGTCGTGGTTAAGTAACTATTTTCATGTTCAACTTGGTTGGCCCAACCGTTCACTACTTCTCACTGGGACCTCGGAAATTGCCTTTCGAAGCTGTTCACCAGTGAGCATGTCTGTTTGTTAGTTGGTTGAAGGAAATTAGCAGCAAGGCATATTTATATTGTCGAGGGGAGCGGTGTCGGTTAGGAGATTCAAACTGGCGTCACCCAATGTTGCAGTCAGTGAAGTTACCACTTCGCTGTTAGGGCTACACCCGACTACAACACTTGGTGATCCGGGTTGGAATCTCATAGGCGAAAGCAGTTCCTTGAGGGTTGTAGGCACTATCTGCTGACGATCACCAACAGGCACGAAACATTGGTTCAGGGCTTCCTACTGATTGATTTAAATTAACTAACATCCATCAAAGTGCACTATGATTCTGATCCTCTAGCTTGGTGGCCACGTTGTAAAATGATCAACAGAGTTCATTCAGCACTCAGAACTAGACAACTTAGGTTTGGTTAGTCCCCAACGATCAATCCATACATTTCTATTTGTTTATTAGACTTATCATATAAAGCAGAAGTAATATTATCTGGTTCATTCGCTTTCGTATACAATTAATTGTCCACAGTCATATCAAGACAATTAAATAACTTTGCAGCACGGTTTACATAGTTCTAGATGTGCTTAGCAAGATTTTCCATATATCCAGAACAGATGATGAGTCATTCCGACTGCATGCATTTGGTGTTGATTCGATAAACAGAGGCTCAGTTATCAATCTATCCTTCACCCAAGCAAGTTAGTTTTAAGGTTCGTTACTCTGTTTATAAAACCTTTGATATGACCATGGATAATAAATCGTGTGCGAAACACAATCCTGTAAATAATACTGTTTCATTGTATAATACATAAGATAAATAAACTAAGAAGAAATTATACTCTACCAGTGTCCATCTTCACGCTTATAGTATTCCAGTTTCTATTGACAGTAGGGAAGAAATTATTCTGTCTGGAACTAAAGATAAAACGACTATACATAGGCATCTGCTAATTGCGAATCTCTACTTTTACATTTTATCATTTTCTGATCTTTTGAAAGAAAACTGTAGTTTTGTCAAAAAAGTTGAGACCTTTCAGTAACACTGTCTTAGGATGGTTTTATACTGGCTTTTATCGAAATGTATCACGACCCATCGAGTAAGCTAATTATGACTTCCATTCTAGTTACAGATTTCTCGGTATTCATTTTTATAGTTAAACCAGAAATTCCAAATTATTTCATGTTGCAACCAATTACGAAGTGTCTGACAGAATACCGTTCTTGCAGACGACTTCAATTGACTTGGTGAATCTCGAATTTGTAATATACACATGGAAGCCTGCTTTTCCCGGCAAACACCCGTTTGGCATTTGCCAATTCGCGTCACTTGTGGCGCCGACTGGTGAGATATCCAACTATTTATCAAAGGACAAGTATTCTGCTCTGCATTTCATTCTATCCTTTTGTACGGTTGTAGGACATGGCCGTTAAAAGCAGAAGACATGAAGTAGTTACAGGGTTCTGATCACAGGTGTCTTTGTAGCGTTGCTCGTATTTGGTAGAATCAATGTGTGAGCAATGTAGGGGTCAGAAGAAGGGTAAGACAGGCAACTCAAACGAACCTTCATTAACTGAGATGACTTGGACATGTACTGCATATTCCGATTCACCTCCTACCTCGACGTGCTATGCTGGTGGAAGTTCGATTAAGTTGGAAGAGGGTTGAGGGTGCCCAGACCAAGACTCGGCACCAGTCGATGAAGTCTGTGACTGTTGGTCCGAGTTGTGTAGAGAGATATAGATTACCTAGTTAGGTTCTCTGAAACGACAGAAATCATTGTTTGAGGATCCTTGGTGACATGGCTGAAAGTCAGTCGCAATAGCACGGATGTACTCACTCGTTCACACCTTCTAAAGCTTGAATATTCATATTGACCTTTATCCTCAGATTGTTTATTCTCTCATGCTACTTTGTCTGCTTTGATGTCAGTCTTTTTTTATCCACTTGTTCCTTATGTACTACTGTGAAGTGTGGCAACTTAGACGATTCACCTGTGTGCGAGGTTCTACTTTGATTTTGTTAGTCAGTCCTTTGTAAAAACTATAAAGTAATTCAAGCTATGACAGCTCAGTGTGGTAAACCTTAAAAGATTATGTGGGAGAAGTTTTTAAACGAAACAGATGAATGTTGCCCCTAGTTTTGTTGTCAGGGGACTACTGGAGATCAGTAGCGACATTTGTAGGCTACATAGATGGTAATGACTAATATTAGGTAAATGTGGTGGAAGGGGGGAAGAATTGGTGGTTTGAAAATATTGCAGCTGGTCAAATCATTGCCCAGTGTGGTGTATGTATAGTGCTTTGATGGAACAGGATGAACAAACGGTGCTATTGACTGGTGTATATATTCCCTAGGCTAATGATGTTAACCAACATAACTTATTCTATCACTGTCACAATTTTTGAACGAATATTCTGGTCTCCGTAAGAAACTGTAAGATAACCCGATCAGTTAGTTCTACATTATTGAAGACTATAAACTTCAGACAGAATTCACAGTTAGACAGCTTTAGAGGGTTGGTAGCATATCAGAAATTTGAAATTCGTGTGTTTCAACAATTATCAGCAAAGTTAGCTCATGATTCATGAGAAATTCATACCTCTACAAAGTTTTCTTGATGCTATGAACACTGTCTAGCTATGAGCATCAATGAGTGATAAATTTTTACTTGAAGCCTTTTATAGATTATCTCTAGTCACTCATCTCCAGACACAGTGTAGAAAGATGCTCAGTTGCTTACATCTAAGGGTTACAGTAAATGATCTGACGAATGAAAATTGGGGAACACTAAAGATATCATTGGCTATTATCTTATAACCGAAAAATGTACAATCAGTCATACACTGAATATTTTTGGTATTCACGAGTCAGTGGAATAATTGCATTAATGAAAGCACCTCCAGGGGCTTTCGGAGAACTGCTTGGTTCCAACGAGTGCTTTAACTCCTCAAAAACCTGCAGATTGAATAATAATCCGATGCTCAGCAGTAACTTGCTTCTAGATGGGATCCTTGGAGCCATTGTAAAAAGCAGTAAGTTATGGAGTCAAACTAGTCGAATGTGCGGACAAATAATAATTGATTGTGTTTCTAGATGGTGGTGATATAGCATGAGTCAGCAGAAGTTGGTTTCCCCTCATTGGCTGGATGGTATTTTGCTCACCATGAGACCCGAAAGTTCTAGGTTCGATTCCTCACGGAGTCGTGGGTGCTCACTGTTCAGGAGTCTCATAGTGGAACAATGTAGCTTTCCAGTGCTCTGAGATTTTAATTTGTTCTCTGGGTGATATTGATCTGTGACGAAAGCTGCTTCAGTATCAAGTCAAAGATCTCACAATTTCAATTTAGTTCGAC